TGGTCACTGCTTGGTCACAGTCAGCTACCCAGAATGACCAAGTAGTTGAACCTGTGGGCTTGGGACCATAGTCGCAGGGGACATCAAGCTCAATTGGTATAACATACTATACAAAACATTGTTGTACCTCCTACTTTGGCAAGTAGCATCTTGGATCTTAAAAGCTAGCAAGCTGCCATCTAGATGCAACGATGGGTCTCTCTTCGTCCAGAGCAAAGAAGAATGAAGAAAACTAAAAATTCATGGAAACAATTAGTCCTAGTGACTGGTTCACCATCCGATCTGCAGCCTATATGACTCTGAGACCAGAAGAACTAGATGGTGCCTGGCTACCACTGTCATCCACTTGGAAAGGGATCTATGTAGGAGCTCCTTGATAGAGAGGGAGAACAATGTGGAACAAAACACAAAATCATTTGGAGAAATCAAAAAAGGGGGGGCATGTTTGTTTGCTGACCTGATAGAGCCTGGTGGAACCTCTGGACTGTGGCCCCTAGCTGCCCTTCAGGTCTGGAATTGAACCCACACCTGTGGTTTCCAGCCAAACAAAGGACAAGCATATGAGTTGAACATTTACCTGAGGTAGATACACTCCTTGGAGAGAACAATCATGGGAGAAAGAAGGGCTGCTTATGCACAGGGAGACAACTCAGGGGGCAGGAATGCATGGACGGATGGACACAGGGAGGAGGTAACTATGGGGATGAAGCGGGAGGGGAGCTGTTGCATTGTGGTAAACTGTGGTCAATGTCACGAGACAGTGTATGTGAATTGCTGTATGGAAAGTGAATTTGCTCTGTAAATCTTCACCCAAATCACAAAAAAAAAAAAAAAAAGTTTATGAAGAAATTAATATATGAGGGGACAGGGCTATCGGAGTGGGTCAAATATTTAGAAATGTAATTTTCTTCTTCACTCAAGAAAAGATGTCTTTTCTCTACCTGGATCACAATTTCAGGGCAGAAAATAAACAAAGGTCAGAGGTGAGAGGGAGTTAAGAACTGTGGAACTGTAACCACTATTACAACTTCATGTGATTCTAGATTCTTTGTCTTTTCCTCATATTTGTTATTTATTCATCAGCTTCATGATTACCAATAAAATTCTGCAAAAATTAAAAAAAAAATGCACTATCTGATATATGCAACCAACATCTCCTGGTTGTATATAAAAAAGCTAGGAAGAGCTTTATTCTGTTGCTTAAGTAAAGTTCCCTCCCACAGTGCTTGGTATGCAAGAAGTGTATCAAAACAGACACTTTTCTGTGAGATTTTACTTGCAAATTAAGCTCTGTAGACTGATTTGCTTCCTGGTTCCATAGTGTATTTTTCTTTTCATTAGTGAACACTGTATCCATATTCAACCCATTGTTTTAGAGCCTCTTTTTAAAAATTCTTGGGAGTATTGTTTGAATTGGCATAATTTGCAATATGTTATTCTAGAACTGCTTATCTGTTTATTGGAAGGCTTGTTTCCGTTTGCTGTTCTGTCTGCTAATCAGAAAACAGAAAGCTAGTCTTGTTGTGAGATAGAAAACTTTGATGTAGTCAGCTTTATTTATTTATTTATTTTAAATGTTTTCTTTGGTTACTTTACAGTGAAAGCATTGTGTTTTTTTCCCCCCCTTCTCCTTATTACCTGTAGACCCAGCGGACAGTTGGAAAACTGAATTGTCCTTTCTGTGGGGCCCGTGTAGGGGGCTTTAATTTTGTCAGCACGCCAAAATGTTCTTGTGGCCAACTTGCAGCTGTACATCTCTCCAAGAGCCAGACAGATTATCAGCCAATAAGGACAGGCCGACTAATGAGACCATCGCTGAAATACTTGTCACATCCTAGAGTTCAGTTAGGTTGTGACAAGGAAACTCTGCTGACAGGTAACACCTCTGAGAAAAGAAGTCTTGGGCTTTTAAACATGGCCCAAAATAATTATGGTCCTGGAAGATTAACAGAAGCACTCTGCCTGGAGGTGCGATCAACGTGTTTTGAGATGGAGAATGAAAAACTGCTCTACAAAGCATCAGATTCAAAATACCAGCTTTTTGTTCCGCAGCTGGTGACTGGCAGATGCACTGCGAGAGCTTTTCATAGAAAATCACATAGTTTGGATCTGAACAGCAGTGAGAAGCTGATTTTATTACCTACTTTTTATGAAATACATAGTAAGACTACTGCCTGTTCTAGGCTAAATGAAACACAACCTATTGACCTTTCTGACTTGCCTTTAGAAAGTAGTAAAAATAGCTGTTCCTTTCAGAATCCATCGAGTTTTGATCCTAATATGGTACTGCAAAGATTTTCAGTGGCTCCCTGTGAGAACCAGACACAAAGAGGAAGCGAATTTCAGTGTAGTCTAGAAGCTTCTGCAGTATACTCTGATCATGCTAGTTCCAACAACCTGACTTTCCTGATGGACCTGCCCTTGGCTGGCAGGAACATGCTTGAGTCCTCAGAACAGGAAGACCACCTCTCCCCTCTGGACTTCTTGAACTCGGCCACTTTTTCACTGGGCACCATTAACCAGAGGCTCAATAAGAGAGAAAGGAGCAAGTTGAAGAATCTAAGGAAACAACAAAGGCATGAAAGATGGCTACAGAAGCAGGTAATTTGCTTTTGAATGAGTTTACTGAAAATTCTATTATGACATTTTGAGGTTTGAGGAGTGGAGCTAACTGTAAATTCTTGGATTACAAAAACTTGGTTTTAATATTTTCTGAAATGGCATTTCTCTCTAGGTGTACTAATAGTCACGCAGCTTGTTTAATTGCCACGTTAACTGTGACCTTATGCTTCAAACAGGTTAGAAATGCTCCTTTTTCATAGTTTTGCCCAATTCTGCTAATACATGTTAGGGTTCATTAATCTCATAATAATTGAAATTAGATTGCTTGTCACATACATTTTTAATTCATTACATGTTAGGATTGGTTTACAGTGATTTTATTTGCACTTAATTTGAAACAAACAAACAAAAAAATGTTTCTCTAAGTAAATCCAGTCTAGTGACAAATTCATTTGCTTTCATCACATTTAGCTTAAATGGATATTTTCAAGGAGCTCATTTGTAACATGTATGCACAGTTAATATATGCACAGATGATCTAGAGGTGACTAACTACACCAACTTGCAAAAATTACCCAAAGTGTGCTTTACCCTTACTGTGACTTTATAGGATAGTGTGCTTGTGTATGATTTGAATTCCTCGTGCAACCATAATGACATATTCAAGGGTGGGGTGAATGAAGGAATTGAACAATAAGTGTTAGATGCTGTGGAAGCCAATTAAAGCCAATAGAAGGGTGCTTGTGAAAATTTAGGTTTGAGGACTACTGTATTTCTGTCTGTAGCTTTTAATGCAAATTGCCTTTATTATTTCTTGATCCTAGTGGATAGTAGTCCTTATTACTGTGTGTGCTGAATATTAACAGAGCTAAAATACAGAAAGGGGCAACTTAACATAATAGTTCGTTTTTTTAAAATATTTAGTGAACTCATTATTGCTTATGATCCTAGACTCAATTACAAAAAAAATTACTACATGGGATGCTTCAGTCAGATCAGGTCTTTTGTTAATCTTTCAGTTACTTAGTATAATTATAATTATGTTGTTGTTGTTGTTATGTGCCTTTGAGTCAGACATTATAGGTAATGATATTTTTGACTGGTTTTTGACAGAGGATGATGGGTTTCTGACAGAGGAAGTCCATTTTCAGTTATATGCAACTGATGGTATAAAGTGACTTCAAAGTATATATTTTAGAATATAAAAATGGATGTTATGCTATTATTATTATACTATCATACTTCTTAGTCTTAATTTATTGAAATTGCAAAATTCAAATCTTTATTGAAAATTTAACTTAGGTAAATTGGAGAACAAGCACCCTAATTTTCTTAACAAAGAAAATTAGAAACAGTATAGCAGAATAGAAATAATGTGAGTTAACAGTTTGGGTACACACCATGTTTAGAGCAAGAAAGAATAATAATTATATTTAAAAGTCAGTTATGCCCATTCCAGTAAAAAGAGAAATCCTGTAGAAACTTCATATATGAGATAAATTAATGACTTACTTATTTAGTTTGTTCCATGTTTAATAAAGGTGAATTCAGTAACCATTAATTAAATATTTGTTTGCAAGATATGATATCTGAGTAATGAAAAGATGACTTTAATACAGATCCTGCCTCTTTTTAATGAGGGAGCTCGGCATGCAAGGAACTTTGGTGGTGTAGGGGTTGAAGCGTTTAGCTGCTAACCAAAAGGTCAGTGGTTTGAATCCACCAGCCACTGCACAAGGAGAAAGATGAGGCAGCCAGCTTCTGTAAAGATTTACAGCCTTGGAAACCTATGGAACAGTTTTGCTCTGTCCTCTAGCATTGCTATGAGTCAAAATCGATTCAATGGCAACAGCTTTGAGTTTTAAGCATACGTGATATAAAGGAAAAGTTAGCTATTGTTAATGATAATTTTTAGAAAGTTAAAAATAATGGACTGGGAAATCTAGATTTCTGACTTTTACTTGACATTTTTATTGAATTTTTGTGCAAAGTAGGTATTTTTCAGTCACAGACATCATGATAAAAAGTGTTAATGATGCTATAAAAAAGCAGTTTAAATTTCCGAAGCTTAGGAATGTAAATAAGATTGGCCAGTTCACAATGTTTTTGTTCAGCAAATGTTAATTACTTTGGGGAAGTCATAGTGCTGTGAGTTGCTTTTAGCCAGTCAGCATTCCCCACCCCCAGCATTATCTACTTTTTAAAAATTTTAATTAAAAAAAAATCATGCATAAAATTGACATTCTTTGCACACAGCTTTATGAATTTTAGCATGTATATAGATTCATATAACCACTACCACCATGAGGATATGGAACAGTTCCATCACCCCAAAAGCTTGTGCTATAATCACACCCTCCTTTCACCCTTAATCCCTGACAACTGATGATGTCTCCATTCTTCTTCACTTTAGTTTTATCTTTTTGATAGTGTTATCAAATAGAATCATACAGTATGTAACTTTATAAAACTAGGTTCTTTTACTAACATAATTGCCTGTGTGATTCATCCAAATTGTTGCAGATATCAATAGTTCATTTTTTTTATTGATGAGTAAGTAGTATTCCATAGTATGAATAAACTGGAGTTATATAGCCATTGACTTTTTGAAGGACAGATGAGTTTCTAGCTTTTGGCAATTATGAATAGAGCTACTGTAAAGATTCCTGTCAAACTTTTGTTTGAACCTAAATTTTCATTTCTGTAGGGTAAATACTCAGGAGTAGGATTGCTGAATCATATGGTATGTGTATATTACTTTATAATAAGCTATTGAATTGTTTACACAGTGGCTTTACTATTTTGCTTTCTCAGCAGCTATGTGTAAAGTTCTTACTTTGCATCCTTGTGAGCACCTGGTTTTCTTTATGTGTGTGTGTATATATGTATATATGTGTGTGTATATGTGTGTGTGTGTATACATCATATACATATATATATACATATATATATATATGTATGTATATATATATAAAATCCAAATAGGTATTCAGTGGAATCAAATTGTGGTTTTAGTTAATATTTCCCTAACGACTAATGATGGTAAACATTTTTCATGTGCTTATTTGCTATTTATGTATATTCTTAGTGATGATTCTTTATCTTTTCTTCATTCTTTAATTGGGTTTACTGTTTCCTCCTTGTTGAATTTTGAGAGTTCTTTATATATTTTGGATGTAAGCCCTTCATCTGATAAGTGATTTGCAAATATTTTCTTACAGTTGCTAGCTTGTCTTTTTATTCTTTTAGCAGTTTTTCCCCAATAGAGTAACATTTTGATAACATTTTTATAAATTTTGATAAAGTCCATTATCTCAGTTTTTTTTCTTTTATAGATTGTGTTTTGAATGCCACTTGTAAGAACCCTTTGCCTAACCTTAAGTTACAGAGATTTTCTCCTAAAGTTTTATAGTCTTTAATTTTACATCAGTTTGAGTTTTTGAAAGGTGTGAGGTTTTTTTTCTTTGCAAATAGATGTCTTAGTTGTTCTAGCACCATTTGTTAAAAACACTGCTCTTTCTCCATTGAAATACTTTTGTACATCTGCTAAAGGGGCAAGGAGGCAGCATCTTCTGACTTCCTCTAACCTCACAAGAGGAAGACAGAATCACCTTTAGAAGCCCAAGGCCTATTCCTGCAAGGTTAGATATGCTGCCTCCTTCCAGCCCTTTCACCAACTCTGACACCAACTGTTTCTCCTGCAGCACCTACCACCTCTCTGCTGGGTTCAATAATTTGCTGCAGTGGCCACACAGAACTCACAGATTATGGGATTTATTAGGGAAACAACAGGTTACAATTCAAGTTCAGGAACACACTCAGTCTCTATCAGCCTGCTGTCTCTCAGCCGACAGTCTCTCACTCTCTCTTCCAACAGTAGGTGTCTCTCTCTCAGCAGTGCATGTCTCTTGGTGTCTCTCTCAGCAATGCGTGTCCTTCGTGTCTCTCTCAGCTGCAGTGAGAGATTCCTTCTGCATCTAGGAGGTCTCCTTTTGAGCCTGGCAGAGTGGCCAAACTAACCAATCTCAACATCAGAATTCTATGCACCTGAGAGAAAGCAAACTTCCTAGAAAATTACTTTGTGCTTCTCCTAACAGAAATACCCTAGATGGATAACTTTAACAATCAGGAGCTACTCAGTTGCTCATAGCAAATTCTACTACAGAGTTTACAAAGACTTATGGCCAGAAAAGCCACACTATGTGATTTACTACATCGCAACATCTGTCAAAAATCAGTTGGCCATACTTGTGTGAGTTTATCTTTGTGGACTCTCTGTTCTTTTCAGTTCATCTATGTGTGTACTCCTTAGCCAGTCATACTATGTCTTGGTTATTGTGCATTTATAATTACTCATAAAATTGAGTAATGTGATTCATCCAGCTTTATTGTTCTTTTCCAGAATGGTTTTAACTCTTCAAATTCCTTTGACTTTCCATATAAAACTTAGAATCCTCTTGTTTAGATTTATTTAAAACAATCCTACTGCGATTTTGATTGGAATTGAAGTAAGTCTATGTGATCAACTTAGGGAGAATTGAAATCTTCACTATGTTGATTTTGCTGATGCAGAAATATGTTCTGTCCTTCCTTTTATTTACGTCTTTCTTTCATAAGTATATCCATGTTTTCAGCACATAGAACCTGGGCATGTTTTGTTAGAATTATACTAAGTCTTTCTTTCTTGGAACTATTATAAATTGCTTTTTGGGGGTGCTTGCAGTTATACATTGCTAGTATATAGAAACCATTGACATGTTTTGATGTTGTATTTTGTGATGTTGGGAGTATAAATCTTTGATATTTTTTGTCAGATATATTTCTAAGTTTTTCATATTTTTTATGCTGTTGGTAAATACTATTGTTTTATTAAATCTGTTTCTCATTGCTTATTGATGGTATTTGTTGTTGTTAGGTGCCGTCGAATCAGTTTGAACTCACAATGAACATATGTACAACGGAATGGAACATTGCATGGTTCTGCACCATTCTCACAATTATTGCTATACTTGAGCCCATCATTGCAGCCACTGTGTCAATCCACCTTGTTGAAGGTCTTCCCTTTTTTCGCTGGCCCTGCACTTTACCCAGCACAATAACCTTCTTATGGAACTGGTCCTGTCTGACAAGATGACCAAAGTATGAGAGACTAAGTCTGGCCAGTCTCATTTCTAAAGCATATTCTGTCTGGGCTTCCTCTAAGACAGTTTTGTTCATTCTTCTAGCAGTCCATGGTACATTCAGCATTCTTCACCAACACTACAATTCAAATATATCAATTCTTCTGCAGTCTTCCTTATTCACTGACAAGATTTCACATGCATGTGAGGTGATTGAAAATACCATGGTTTGGGTTAGGGGCACCTTAGTCTTCAAAATGACATCTTTGCTCTTCAACACTTAATTTTTTTTTTTTAATAGCAGATTTGCATAATGCAGTTCATTCATTTCTTGACTACTGCTTCCATGGGCGTTGATTACGGATCAAAGTAAAATGAAATCATTGACAACTTCAGTCTCTTTCTCTGTGTATCGTGATGTTGCTTATTGGTCCTGTTGTAAGGATCTTGTTTTCTTTATTTTGAGCTATAATTCATACTGAAGGCTGTAGTCTTTGTCCTTGATCAGTAAATTCTTCAAGTCATCATCACTGAAAGATTGTGTCATCTGCATATCACAGGTGGTTAATGACTCTTCCTTCAGTCCTGATGCTGCATTCTTTATATAGTCCAGCTTCTTGGATCATTTGCTTAGTATACAGATTGTGTAGGTATGGTAAAAGGATACAACCTTGATGCACACCTTTCCTGATTTTAAACCATGCAGTGTTCCCTTGTTCTGTTCGAATGACAGACACTTGGTCTATGTACAGCTTCTTCATGAGAACAAATAAGTGTTCTGGAATTCCCATTCTTTGCAATGTTAACCATAATTTGTTATGATCCACACAATCAAATGCTTTTGCATAATCACTGAGACACAGGTAAACATCTTCCTGGTATTCTTTGCATTCAGCCGAGATCCATCAGACATCAGCAATGATCTAGCCCTTGTTTCATGCTCTGTATCTGGATTGAATTTCCAGAAGTTCCTTTTCAATATACTGCTGCAACTGTTTTTGAATGATCCTCAGATTTGATCTCATGTGATAACAATCTGTTCCAGTTAGTTGATCAGGTGGCTGTTCTACATTTCTTGACATAAATGAGTGAGTGATTCCAGTGCTGCGTCTGTTTCTGGAAACATTTCAATGGGTATTTGGTCAATTCCAGAACCTTAGTTTTTCACCAGTTCCTTCAGTGCAGCTTGGACTTAGTCCTTCAAAGCCATAGGTTCTTCATCATATGTTCCCTCCTGAAATGGCTGAATGTGGGCCAGTTCTTTTTGGTACAGTGACTCTGTGCATTCCTTCACCTTCTTCTGGTGATTCCTGCATTGTTCAGTATCCTGCCACTTGAGGCTTGAACTTTTTTTAGTTCTTTTATTTGACAAATGCTGAGCATGTTCTTCCCCTTTGATTTTCCATCTCCAGGTCTTTGCACCTTTCACTTTTAATACTTTGTCCTCTCAAGCTGCCCTTTCAAGCCTTCTGTTCAGATATTTTACTTCATCATATCTTCCTGATAGATTCAGCTAATCTCTGTTAAGTACAAGTTTCAGAGTGTCTTCTCACTTCCATTTTGGTCTTCTCTTCTTTTCTGGTCTTTCTAATGGTCTTTTGGTTTCTTCGTATATGATGTCCTTGATGTCATCCTACAACTTGTCTGGTTGTCAGTCACAAGTGTTCAGTGCCACAAATCTATTCTTCATAGTCTCTAAATTCATGTGGGATATATTCAAGGCGATATTTTGGCTCTGGTGGACTAGGTTTAGTTTTCTTCAGCTTCAACTTCAACATGCATATGAGCAGTTGATGGTCTGATCCACAGTTAGCCCCTGGCCTTGTTCTGCCTGATGATATTGAGCTTCTCCACCATTTCTTTCCACAGATATAGTCAATTTGATTCCCATGTATTCCATGTGGTGAGGTCCATGTGTATTGTCCCTATTTATATTGTTGGAAAAAAAGGTATTTACAATGAATAAGTCATTGGTCATGTAAAATTTTATCATGTGATCTCTGATGTCATTTCTGTCACCAAAGCCGTATTTTCTAGCTACCAATGCTGCTGCCTTGTTGCCAGCTTTCACATTGCAATCACCAGTAATTATCAGTACTCTTGCTTGCATGTTTGGTCAATTTTAGACTGCAGAAGTTGGTGAAAACCTTCAATTTCTTCAGCCTGGGCTTTAGTATTTGGTGCATAAATTTGAATAATAGTTGTATTAACTGGTCTTTTTTGTAAGTGTATGGATATTATCTTATCACTTGACAGCATTGTACTTCAGGATAAATCTTGAATATTCTTTTTAATGATGATTGTGATGCCATTCCTCTTTAATTTATCATTCCTGACATAATACCATATGATTGATTATCTGATTCAAAATGGCCAATACTAGTCATCCCATTTCATTTTTGACAACTTCCAGTTTTCCTAGATTTATACTTCATACATTCCATGGTTCAGTTATTAATGGATGTTTGCAGTTGCTTCCTCTTGTTTTGAGTTGTGCCACATTAGCAAATGTAGGTCCTGAAAACTTTACTCTATCCATGTCAATTGAGGTCAACTCTAGTTTGGGGAGGCAGCTTTTTCTCAGTTGTATTTTGAGTGCCTTCCAATCTGAAGGATTTATCTT